GTGACATGTTTGTACGAACCCTTTGTACGAACAAAAGTAAGAGAAATTTTGGATAAGAATACAAACATGTTCTTGCAAGAGGCCCATTGTGAGCAAAAGATTTTTTCACCCGACAACGACGCTTAATGATCTCCACAGTACAGAATTAGCATATTATATGTACCAACATTAACACAGGAGACGTACAGGTCCAGCCAAGTGAAAAAAAAATCACTCCAAAGTGGACTAAAGCCATAAAAACAAAAGGAAAGACATTTGTGTTTATGGTTTCAGAATTGAGCCTTTTTCGCTATTCCTTAGCTGCTTGTTCAGTGAATTTTTCACGTAGAGCTGTGACACTTATATTGTTGGAAAGAGCAGAGTCTGGGCCTTAAATTGATGGGAAACTTGTGTGGTTTGGATCGTTTTCCCCGACGTTGGTGAACTGAAAACGTAATGATTATCAGGTGGAGGTTCTGCGGCTCTCTGTGCTCAAGGGGAGGTGGGGGCGCGCTCGTCGCTCGTGTTTTGTTTTCGCTGTAATATACACTCTAACAAGTTTTTACTTTTGCATAAAACTCATAACAAAGTTGCCTAAAAACATTTCATACTCTGTATAACACAAACGCACGCGCGCACGCACACACATCTACCTTTGTACCGGCTGCTGTGTTACCTTCCTCCTAGCTGTCGTGTGGAGGTGGTCTTTCCTCTCTCATCTTGGCAGTAAAAGGGGATAAATGTACATTTCCCTTTTGTAACCTCCGTCTTCTCATTTCTGATGCTGGCTCTTGAATATCCTCAGGTTAGAAATGCTGATTACAAACGCAAGTCTGAGCTTATAGCCAAGTTTTCCTTGTATAGTTAGGTGTGTGTGTGTGTGTGTGCGTGCGTGCGTGTGTGTGTGTGTGTGTGTGTGTGCGTGTGTGTGGATGTGCATGTGAAACTGCATAGCCATCAATAATTAGGGGACCGTTACTGCATCAAGCCCAGGGGCTCATATCCCCCTAAATCCGGCCCTGCCCGCACATCTCCCTTGTCGCTTCCTTTTCAGCTTGAGGGGAGTTCAGCAGGGGAGGCACCGCAGAGCTAGTTGATCCCAGGTGTACACAATGGGAGCGTGCTCACGCATTCTCCGGAAGAAAAAGCCGTAAAAAAGGAAAATATAAACAAAATGTCCAAAGAAGTCAGCTCCACAGTTGGTGTAAAGAGTAGTAAAACACAGGAACACACTGCACTTCTAGATAAGATAAAAAAAAAACAAGATCACAGAGTACGAGTAGAGCTGTTGAAACTTGCTGCCAGTTCTCGCGGCACCAGAAGACAAAAAGTTACCAATTTAACCAAACAGTCATGGTCTTGGTCTGTGGGAGGAAACCGGACAACTAGGAGTAAACCCACACATGCACGAAGAGAACTTCCAAACTCTACCCAAAGAAGTCCCAGGCCAGGATTCGATCCAGCAACCTTCTTGCTGAGAGGCATCAGCTCTACCAACTGAGCCAGTCTGACATTACGTTTATACTACTATTCATGGGGATAAAGGATGGCATGATTGCTACAACAGATAAAAATAAACTGGCAACAAAAGGAGGGTGCTGCAACAATTGACACAGATGAGGTAGGTGAAATCTGTGTGCCTAAGTAGGAGATCAGGCAGCCAAAGTGGCCCTGAGCATGTGTACCATGTTTGTAATATGATTAACAAAGACCAGAAGTGCAGAGTCTTGATGAAAGCACAAATTATGTTTGACAAGATATCATGTCTGCTAACCTCTGTATGTGTGATGATAAGATCTAACTACTGCTGCCAGCAGAAATCTAATATAGATGGCCAGGCACAGTCTGCTATGCTCTTCTATCACGCAAAAGCAAAATCAGTAATCCAAAAATAGTAAATTTGTCTTTTACATGTTTTTAATATAGGATTAAAAGTAAAAATTTAGATTGTGCTTCTCAATTATTAATGACATGTTGCAAATATATTTAAAAAAAGTAAATACATGTATACTTACTGGGTAGGTGTGGTTCTAACCCCTCTTCCACTTGTCTTAGCTGTTGTGTCTTGGTCAAAGACACTTCACATGCCTTGCCTGCTGGTTCAAACTCCACTGTAAGGGCAGCCCCACCTGTCAGTCTGCTCCAGATGTCAACTACATAGCACAGTGTATAGTGTGTGTGTGTATGAATGTGTAAAGCACTTTGGAGTCCTTGGACTTGTTAAAGTGATTTACAGCTTCGGGCCATTTACCATTTACTGTAAATTATAGGAAAAAAATTCACATAAGAAAACATGTTAATGTAAAATATGTGAAACATGTTTTAGACCTTTTTTGTCCAGTTTTGAACATTTTTAACATGTTTATGTGAACAAGTGTATATA